GCTGGTGTTCGCTATGCGCAAGCGGTGCACAATTAACCAGCACTGACTGTTTAGAGTGGTGCGTAAGTGTTGCATTAAATGCATTTTCGAAGGATTCTATGGCCTTATAGCAAGTGCGTATATAGTAGATCAGTTCTGAATATTTCAACTGGTGTGTTTGTGCTGCTAAATGTACACAAGTGTGTACATATTTAATTAGTTCCGACTATTTAGACTGGTGTGTTTGTACTGGTTGGTGTGTATCAGTGTGTATACAGTTAATTAGTTCCGACTATTTTAACTGGTGTGTTTGTACTGGTTGGTGTGTATCAGTGTGTACACAGTTAATTAGTTCAGACTATTTAGACTGGTGTGTTTGTGCTGGTTGGTGTGTATCAGTGTGTACACAGTTAATTAGTTCCGACTATTTTAACTGGTGTGTTTGTACTGGTTGGTGTGTATCAGTGTGTACACAGTTAATTAGTTCCGACTATTTAGACTGGTGTGTATTAGCTGTTTTAGTGAGCATTCGTATGGGCACATGTAACCAGATATGGCTGTTGAGCTGGTGTGAAGTAGACTCAAGCTGCGATAGCTAGTTATCAAGCTGTAAAGCTGACGAGTCCTTCCTACCGTGAATGAACTTTATTGTACATGCACATAGTCCGTTGGGTAGCTTCGCCTGGTTGTCGTGTCCGTATTTATGTGTTAAACGAGAGTATAGCTGTCTACGTGCACACACCTTGAGTTGGCCAATGGAGGCAGGCCTGGAGTGTTGTGATGGTTTGTTAGTTGGCCACTTTTATCCTTAGACAGAAGGTATTGCTCTGGTAATAGGCCCACGAATCACTCCTTAGCTGCTATGTCTACATCACAAGTACACTGCCGAGCAAGGCTTGCGCTTGATCTATCCGTATCCGTATTTGCACTTCCCACCAGTCCGTGAACAGAGTACACCTAAAACTGAATATCCTGACAGCCATTGTACTACTTGGGAAAGTTATGGGCCCTGCCCCTGCTCATACTGTTTTGCCTTATTATCACATCTAGTCCAATGCCGGCAAGTCGAATACGGACATGGTCCGGAATCTGGTGATGAATACTTTGACCGGCAATGCGGAACAGTATGTATGATGCTCGTGGCGTAATGTAGTAGCGTATGTGCAGTTATCATGTCTAGAAGTATGGACAGTCTGTATGAACACCCTGGCTATATGTGTAGTAATGAGTACTAAATAATATATGCTGTCCACCTCTATCGGAAGTTGGCGCCAGTGTACCTGCACACATCCGCACTGCGTCGAGCTCAATGAACCTTACTTACACACACACACAC